GTGACTAGAGGAGTTCTGCAGGGGTCAGTGTTGGGACCACAACTATTCACATTACACATTAATGATCTGGACGAAGGAACTGAGCACATTGTTGCTAATTTTGCAAATGACACAAAGATAGGTGGAGGGACAGGTAGTATTGAGGAATTGGGGAGGTTGCAGAAGGACATGGACAGGCTAGGATAGTGGGCAAAGAAGTGGCAGATGGAATACAATGTTGGAAAGTGTGAGGTTAGGCACTTTGGTCAGAAGAATAGAGGCATAGACTATTTGTGAATGGGGAAACAGCTTTGGAAATCTGAAGCACAAAGGGACTTGTGAGTCCTAGTTCAGGATTCTATTAAGGTTGATGCAGTTTTTTTTTTGGCAGTTATGGAGGCTAATGTAATGTTAGCATTCATTTCAAGACGGCTGAAATAAAAGAGTAGGAATGTACTGCTGAGGCTGTATAAGGCATTTGGAATATAGTGAGCAGTTTTGAGCCCCTTATCTAAGGAAGGATGTGTTCATGTTGGAGAGAGTCCAGAGGAGGTTTACAAGATTGATCCTGGGGATTAAGGCTTTGTTATATGAGGAACGCTTGAGGACTCTGGGTTCCTACTCGATGGAGTTTAGAAGGTTGAGGGGGGAGTCTCATTGAAACTTACAGAATACTGAGAGGCCTGGATAGAATGGACATGGAGATGATGTTTCCACTAGTAGGACAGACTAGGACCCAAAGCAACAGCCTCAAAGTGAAGGTATGACCGTTTAGAACTGAGATGAGGAGGAATTTCTTCAGCCAGAGGATTGTGAATCAATGGAACTCATTGCCACACAAGGCTGTGGAGGCCAAGTCACTGAGTATTTTTAAAACAGAAATAGGTTTTTGATAAGCAAGAGGATCAAGGGATATGGTGAGAAGGCAGGAAAATGGAGCTGAGAAACATATCGAATGATGGAGCAGACCTGATGGGCTGAATAATCTAATTCTGCTCCTATATCCTATGGACATATACAATCTTATCTCAAAGTGCAACTACTTTCTCTATTTTTGCTTCCAAACTATATACTTCACTTTATTCTACACCACCCTGTAGGTGCACAGGGGCGGCATAATGTCTCAGTGGTTAGCATTTATGCCTCACAGCACCAGGGACCCAGGATCAATTCCATCCTCAGGCAACTATCTGTATGGAATTTGCACATTCTCCCCCATCTGTGTGGGTTTCCTCTGGGTGCTCCAGTTTCCTCCCACAGTCCAAAATGTGTACGTTAGGTGGATTGTCCAAGCTAAATTGCCCATACTATCCAGTGATGTGCAGGCTCAATGGATTAGCCACGGGAAATGTGGGGTTACAGGGATAGGGTGCGTCAGGGTGGGATGCTCTTTGGAAGGGCAGCATGGACTCAATGGGAAAAATGACCTGCTTCCACGCTGTAGGAATTCTATGATCTGCCCATACCACTTGTCTGTCTATGCCCCCTACGAATATTTATGTTCTTTGTTACAATTTTCCATTTGGCTACTCAGTGGCTATCACCAAGTTTCAAATCTAGTCAATCTTTCAAATTAACCATTTAGTTCCAAAGCCTAGGTAATCAATGGATTTGTTAAATATGTTAAAAGGAATTCTTCCAACACAGACCACCGTGAGATGCTACTTACCTCATTTTCCAGGCTGGGAATATTGTCTTTACCAATACCCTTTGATTAATGGCCACAAAGTTATCCACATGTCCAAACTCCCCTGAATTCCAAATGTCATTTTCATCTCTATATGTTCTTTAGGCACATTGTCATTAGTCACCTTTTGCACAAAATGTCTTAAGTTCCTGCCTGTCCTTGGAAGCATTGGCTCAGTGATGCATCGTAGTCCCTTTCTTTCCTTTTCCAATGAGGTCAAGTCAAGAAGTGAACAGGAGAGTAGATGCCATCATTGATAACAGTCCATCACGAGATGACTCCATTCCTGGAGTTCTTAGGAAATGAGTAGTCAGTCTGACAAAGAGTTACTTGGTGATTCCAAACTCAAAAGTGAAGATCAGCAAGTTTGATTGGAATGGAACAGAGTGTGGGTTGGGCAGAGGTGCTACATTGTTCAACTGTTTTTAAAGCAATGGATTGCTGCACTACTGGTATATGTCTAACTGGAGTTAGTTCAAGAGCGGAAAGCCTTCAAAATGTCCCCCGAGTCTGCCAAGAGCAGCCATATTAGCTGAGATGTGGAGCTTCACTTCAGTTCAGCATGAGGGATTTTGCATGCAATGCAATTCATGGTATCTGCATGATCACCTCGAGTAAGACCATAAGACCATAAGACATAGAAGCAGAAATTACGCCATTCAGCCCATTGAGTCTGCTCTGCCATTCAATCATGGCTGATAATTTTTTAAACCCATTCTCCCCCTTTCTCCCCATAACCCTTGATCCCTTTGACAATCAAGAACTTTTCTGTCTTAAAACACTCAATGACCTGGCCTCTACAGCCCTCTGTGGCAATGAATTCCATAGATTCACTACTCTCTGGCTAAAGAAGTTTCTCCTCATCTCTATTCTAAAGGGTCTTCCCTTTACTCTAAGGCTGTGCCCTCAGGTCCTAGTCTCTCCTACCAAAGGAAGCATCTTCCCAACATTCACTCTGTCCAGCCCATTCGGTATTCTGTAAATTGCAATTAGATGCCTCCTCATCCTTCTAAATTCCATCAAATATAGACCCAGAGTCCTCAAACGTTCCTCGGATCATTTTCATGAACCTCCTCTGGACCTGCTCCAGGGCCAGTACATCTGTCCTGAGGTATGGGGCCCAAAATTGCTCACAGTATTCTAAATGTGTCTGACCAGAGCCTTATAAAGCCTCAGAAGTACATCCCTGTTTTTATATTCTAGTCCTCTTGAAATAAATGGCAACATTGTATTTGTCTTCCTAACTACTGACTCAACCTGCAAGTTTACTTTAAGGGAGTCCTAGACTAGGACTCCCCAGACCCTTTGAATTTCAGATTTTTGAATTTTAGAAAATAGTTGATGCCTCTATTCTTCCTACCAAAGTGCATGATTTCACAATTTCTCACGTTGTATTCCATCCGCCACTTTTTTGCCCAGCCTCCTAACCTGTCCAAATCCTTCTGCAGCCTCCCTGCCTGCTCAATACTACCTGTCCCTATCTTTGAATCATCTGCAACCTTAGCCAGTATGCCCTCAGTTCCTTCATCTAGATCATTGACGTATAAAATGAAAAGTTGTGGCCCCAGCACTGACCCTTGTGGTCATCGGCTGCCATCCTGAGAAGGACCCTTTTATCCCCACTCTCTGCTTTCTGCCAGACAGCGAATCTTCTATCCATGCTAGCATCTTGCCTCTAATACCATGGGCCCTTATCTTACTCAGCAGTCTCCTGTGCAGCACCTTGTCAAAGGCCTTCTGGAAGTCCAAGTAGATAACATCCTTTGGCTCTCCTTGGTCAAATCTGCTTGTTACCTCCTCAAAGAATTCTAACAGATTTGTCAGACATGACCTCTCCTTGATGAAACCATGCTAACTTTGCCCAATTTTACCATGCACTTCCATGTATTCAGAAATCTCATCCTTCACAATGGATCCAAAATCTTACCGATGACTGAGGTCAGGCTAGTCAACCTGTAATTTCCTGTCTTTTGCCTCACTCCCTTTTTAAACAGGAGGAGTACGTTAGTGATTATCGCATCCTCTGGGACCCTCCATGACTCCTGTGATTCCTGGAAGATCACCACTAATGCCTCCACTATTACTTCAGCTATCTAATTCAGAACTCTGGGGTGTAGTCCATCTGGTCCAAGTGATTTATCCACCTTCAGTCCTTTCAGTGTTTCTAGCACCTTCTCATTGGTGATGGCCACTATAGTCACCTCCTTATCCACCCCATCCCCCATCCCCAGTTCTCTTGAATTTTTGGGATGTTACTCGTGTCTTCCACTGTGAAGACTAACACAAAGTACTTGTTCAGTTCCTCCAAATCTTTGTTCCCCATTACTACTTCTCCAGCATAATTTTGCCCTTTACATATCTAAAGAAACTCTTGCAATCTTCTTTTAAATTACTGGCTAGCTTACACTCATATTTAATCTTCTCCCCCATTATTTCTTTTATCGTTGCCCTCTGTTTGTCTTTGTAGGCTTCCCAATTCTCTGCTTCCCAATGCCCTTCACCACAACAAATGCTTTCTCTTCTGCTTTTATGCTGTCCCTGACTTCCCATGTCAGCCATGGTTGACTAATCCTCCCTTTAGTATGCTTTATTTTCCTAGGGATGAATTTTTGCTGTCTCCTGAATTACTCCCAGAAACTCCTGCCATTGTCGTTCCACTACCTTTCCTGCTAAGCTCCTTTCCTAGTCAATTCTGGTCAGTTCTTCCCTCATGTCTCTGTAGTTGCCTTTATTCAACTGTAATGCAGTTACATCTGATTCCACCTTCTCCCTCTAAAATTGCAGAGTAAATTCTATCATGTTATGGTCACCACTTCCTAAGCTCCCTTATCAAGTCTGCCTCATTGCACATCACTAAATCCAGAAATGCCTGTCCTCTAGTGGGCTCCACCACAAGTTGCTCCAAAAAGCCATCTTGTAGACATTCCACAAATTCCATTTCTTGCAATCCACTACCAACCTGATTTTCCCAATCCATCTGCATATTGAAATCCCTGATGATCACTGTAACCTTGCATTTCTTACACACCTTTTCTATCTCCTGGAGTATCTTGTGTCCAACATCCTGACGACTGTTTGGAGCTCTGTACATAACTCCTATTATGGTTTTTTTTACCTTTGCGGTTCCTTAACTCTACCCACACAGATTCTACACTGTCTGACCCTACATAGTTTCTTGCTATTGATTTAATTTCATTTCTTACTAATAAGGCAACCCCACCCACTCTGCCCACCTGCCCACCTTTTCAAGAGAATGCATATCCTTGGATATTTAGCTCCCAGACCTGATCCCCTTGCCGCCAAGTCTCCGTGATGCCCACTCACATCATCATACCTGCCAATTTTGATCCGTGCCACAAGCTCATTTACTTTTAGTCGATCACAACAGCACCTAGGAGCAATGACAGAAGAACTTTCACTTGCAATTACACTGTAACTAACAATATCTTGACCGTTCATTTATAAGAATTTGTTGCTGCTGTTGATTTGATCAGTGAAGAGTTGCAAAGAGCAATAACAGACTGAGCCTCTCAGAAAAGACCATAGAAACTGATCTCCTCCTGCAAATTGATAGTTATCCAGCTGGGGGCACTTGTGACATGGCACAAGAAGAAGCACCCTTTCAGGCTTCTCAAAGGATGATTAAAGTATCAAAAATAACACAGGCACTTTGTTATTCTACATAACGCTGGCTAATGCAGGGTCATCTCACGACCATGCAGCCCAAGATTTTAAAGGCATCATCATAGTCTACAGCGACACAGCAATACCCTAAACAATTTCTTCATCCAAGAAGCATCAGGCCCAGAATTAGATTAATTGGTAAGAAAATCACATTTGGAGCCAACAAGGGAATTCTTGTTTCACAATGGAAGTCAATAGTACAAATTACTACTTAAGGTTAGAGCACATGGTGTAGGGAGTAGAATGTTAGCACAAATAAATGATTGGTCAGCTATCTGGAAGTGGAGATTGGGGATAAATAGATACTTTTCAAGTTGGCAAGCCAACAGAACCGGAGGATCAGTGGTAGGGTCTCAACCACTGACACTCTCTATCAATTACTTGAATTAAGGAATCAAATGTATAGAAGTAAATTTGCCAATTACACAGGGATAGGAAGGAAAGCAGGTTGTCAAGAGAAGATAGGAAGTCTACAAAGGGATATAGACAGGTTAAATGAGTGAACAAAAATTTGGCAAATGGAAAATAAAATGGTAAAATCTGAACTTGGTCACAGGAGCAGAAAAGCTGATGGAAAGGGATTGCAGGACTCTGAAGTGCGGAGGTAAACAGGTATCCTGGTACATTAATCACTAAAGATCACAGTATAGGTACAGCTAGAGAATAAGAAGGCAAATGAAATGCTATTGTTTATTGCATGAGGAGTGGAATATAAAAGTATGAATGTATTACTGCAACCGTACAGCGCCCTGTTCAGACCACATCTAGAGGACTGTGTATAATTTCGGTATAATTTTGATATGTTTGTGTTGGAAGTAGTTCAGAGAAGGTTCACTTTGACTCATTCTTGAGATGAAGGGCTTATGAAGAAAATATTGAGCTGGTTGGGCCTATATCCATTAGAGTTTAGAGGACTGGCGAATGATCTTAGAACATAGAACATAGAACAGTACAGCATAGTACATGCCCTTCAGCCCACGATGTTGTGCCGAACTTTTACCCTAATCCTAATGTCTAACCTCCACCCCTATCTTGTTGTAACATACAAGACCCTGAGGGGTTTGGGCAGGATGAATACAGGGACTATGTTTCTTCTTGTGATGCAGACTAGAACAAGGGTACCCAATTCAAATAAGAGGTATCCCTTTTAAGAGGGAAATGAGGAGGATTTACTTTCTCTGAGCAGGATCTTGGTATGTCACATGGAATCCAAGGAGAGCTAACCATTTGTATACAAAATTGGCATGAAGGTAGGAGACAGAGGGTGATGGGTTGTTTTTTAGGACTAGAGGCCTGTGATCAGCGGTGTCCTGCAAGGATCAGTGCTGGGTCCACTGCTTTTTGTCATTTATATAAATGATTTTGATGTGAATATAGGAATACGGGTAGTAAGTTTGCAGATGATACCAAAATTGTTGGTGTAGTTGGCATGAAGAACATAGAACATAGAACAGTACAGCACGGTACAGGCCCTTTGGCCCACTCTGTTGTGCCGAACTTTTACCCTAATCCTAAATTCTATCTTAACTCCACCCCTACCTTATACTATCATCCATATGCCTATCTAATAGCTGCTTAAATGCCCCTAATGAGGCCGACTCCACTACCATCTCCGGCAATGCATTCCACGCCCCGACCATGAGTAAAGAGCCTACCTCTGACGTCTCCCCTATATCTACCTCCACTCACTTTAAAACTATGCCCCCTCGTAATAGCTACCTCCACCTGAGGAAAAAGTCTCTGGCTGTCCACTCTATCTATACTTCTGATCATCTTGTACACCTCTCATCCTTTGTCGTTCTAAAGAGAAAAGCCTTACCTCTCTCAAACTTTCCTCGTAAGACCTTCCCTCCATTCCAGGCAATATCCTGGTAAATCTCCTTTGCACCTTTTCCAATGCTTCTACATCTTTCCTGTAATGAGGCGACCAGAACTGGACACAATACTCCAGATGTGGCTGAACCAGGTTATCTCTGAGTACAATGGGACTTGATCAGATGGGCTGAGGAGTGGCAGATGGAGTTTAACTCAGATAAATGTGAGATGTTGCATTTTAGTAAGGCAAATCAAGGCAGCATGTATACACTTAATGTTCGAAAGTCCTGGGGAGTGTTGCCAAACAAAGAGACCTTGGGGTGTAAGTTAATAGTTCCTTGAAAGTGGGGTCACAGGTAGACTGAGTAGTGAAGAAGGCATGTGGTACACTTGCCTTTATTGGTCAGTGTAATGAGTATAGAAATTGGGCGGTCATGTTGCAGCCGTACAGAACATTGGTTAGGCCACTTTTGGAATATTGTTTTCAAATCTGGTCTCCGAACAAGAAAGATGTTGTTAAACTTGAAAGTGTGGAGAAAAGATTTGCAAGGCTGTTGCCAACATTGGAGGGCTTGAGCTAAAGGGAGAGGCTGAATAGGCTGGGGCTATTTTCCCTGGAGCATTGGAGGTTGAGGTGTGATCTTATAGAGGTTTATAAAATCATGAGGGGCATGGATAAGGTGAATAGTTAAGGTCTTTTTCCCAGGGTAGGGGAGTCCGAACTAGAGGGCATAGGTTTAAGGTGAGAGGGGAGAGATATAAAAGGGACCTAAGGGGCAACTTTTTCTACGCAAAGGGTGGTGTGTGTATGGAATGAACTGCCAGAGGAAGTGGTACAGACTGGTATGAATACAGCATATCAAAGGCATCTGGATGGGTATATGAATAGAAAATGTTTAGAGGGATATGGGCCAAATGCTGGCAAATGGTACTAGATTAATTTAGGATATCTGGTCAGCATGGATGAATTGGACCAAAGAGTCTGTTTCCATTCTGTAGAACTCTATGATGCTACGACACAAGGTCAAATTATATTCCTCAGATAACAGCAGCTTTGAATTTATTCAGGTCAGAGTTAAATTATCAGTAATCAAGGGAGTCAAAGATTATGGGGAACAGAAATTGGAGCTAAACCACAAACAACCAGATCAGCTACTGTCTTATTGAATGGTGGAGCATGCTGAAAGGACTAAATGACCGACTCCTGCTCCAAAGTTCTATGTTCCCAAATTGACAATTAAACATGGATCTTGTTATTTCATTTTCTTGAGATTATGTTTGTTGATAAAGTCTTAGAAAGCTAGTAAATGTTGGAAGGACACTGAAAGATAACAGTTGAGTTCCAATGCAAAGAATGCACTGCATATTTGTGCTAGGAAAACTAAGTAATAAACTGTCAGAAGTAACATTGATTCAGGGTTAGTCCATTACTGAATGTAGTTCTCATTCACAGAGCACTGCCCCACTCACAATGCCCCTAAATCACCTCATTGCAATTGTTTTTCTACTTCCTCTAGTCCTCTGGCCATGGGTCCACCATCTTAGCTTTTCACTTTTTATTGTTTAGTATGTCCAAAGCAACAAAATTGCCACTTCAACATCTATGTGGTGTGCAGGATCATCCTTTGGGGTTTTAATTTTAGCCTCATGGTATTTGCCAACTGCTGCCTGGTCAATGGCTATAGCTTCACAGTCCTCACTCATTTATTTTCTGGTTACATTGAAACAACGTAGATGCCACGGGTTGCTGGATGCATAACTGCTCTCTAGTTAATGGGCACTAATGTAAATTAAAAAATGTAAAGTCATTTCCTCTGTTTGCTTTTTGGTATGTAGCTCTAATGGCCACACCTGTTTGATCTGTAATATCTAAATAGATCCGTCACATCTGAATAGTTGGGAGGCATGCCAACCAATAAATTTCTAAGCTTCTCCAGTTGGTGTCTTCCCACAGTGAGCAAGGACCTGGTCATTTTCCTGGAAAACATGGAATCCTCATTTTATAAACCTATGACTTGCAGATTAACTTAGCCAGCAAATGTCTCACACAATACTTGAAAGGAGTCTATTGGATCAAAACATACAGTCCCTGCAAATTACAAAGCATCTAGAAGAGACAGTCAAATAGTTTAGACTGCCTGCAAGGCAGCCAAAAGTAGATAATATGGTTTGTTGATTCTTTCTGCAGATCATGGGTCATGGGTCAGGGAAACATCCTCTCCTAGAATGGTCTTCCTCATCAAATTTAGGAATGCTTTTGGGATCACTCAACAGGAGGCCCATGCACCTCATTTTGTCAATTGCAACCTATAACATTACAACAAAATGAGGCCAGAATGGATGGAAGTCTTGCTTAGCAAATGGAATTATTTAGTAATAATAGAAGAATGCATAACATGAAACAAAAATGTAATGCATGTGCTGCAGGAGGTAATCGCTGGCTGCCAAAATCTTGACAGTTTATTGACTATTTAAACTACACTGGCCTTCCTTTAAGAATTAATTCAAAGCAGGCCAGTTCTGCAAAGTTATCATGTGCTTGTTTAATGTGGACAAGTTGCATAAGGGTATGGAGCCTTGTCCAAAGTCATGGTAATCAATGAGTGATTTCAGGTGAATTAAATTGGAATTGGATTTTCCTGCAGTGCAGGTTCCCATTATCAATCAGCCCACTATAAAATATACCACAGGGGCTCTTGTGGTGCAGTGATGGTGTCCCTGTTTCTGAACTAAGAGGCCCTAGTTCAAGTCCCAGCCTGCTCTGCAGGTGGGTGATAACAAATCTGAATTGGTTGATTAGGAAATATCTAAATCATACTCAGTACAATTCATCTTACCACAAGGCAGGCACCAATATTTGGGCTTTCAAACTTTGAACTATGCCCACCACCAGT